AAGGACCAAATGTTCCAGGCAAGAATTCAAATTCCGATACACGTGCACAGGCACACTCTCCGAACGCAAATGGGACAACACACCATTACTAGACGTTCTGGATTTCTCCTTGCAAACACACTTCCACCATAACCGGCATAACTCTAAAACCAAAACTGCAAAAGGAAGCAAAAAAGGGCCAGCAAAGGCACAGCGCGCTTGCGCCACGACATACACGGACACGTGACACAAAAGGCATCATAGCTAGTGCGAGCATGACTCATAGTCATAGCTCAGTCATACAGCACAGCGCAGTTGTACAAGCGCATGATCGCGGGTACAAAGGGTTTCAAAAATACAAATAAATTATCATGAGAGCAGCTCAAACAACTACACGTTCGAAGCAGAAACAGAATAGAAGAGAGACAGAGAAGCAGAGTAGAACACGACTAGACAGAAGGAGAGAATTATGATTCCAATTATCAACGTCAGTAGAACAATAGCATGGCTGAAAACTGGAGCATCTCCACGTGCGCGCTCGCAGCAATGTGACTCAGAGACAGAGGAAGATGAATAAATAAACAGACAAGGTAAGGTCAAAACGAGAATCATTCAAGAGGCTGTCTTGAAACATTTACAGAACAGGTGAGTAGCGACAACATTCTCCCACCTGCTAACGGATGCAGTTAGCCAACACATGACTCATGCACGGACATCAAGCACGCAGATGCGCGACACCGGGCGACGGAACGTTCCCATCGCTGTGCGGACGTCCACAATGCGGATCTTGCCATCCTTTCCGGGGTACACATTCTCCACGATGCCCTTCGGCCAGCAGCTTCGGGCCAACTGTGGATCAGCAATGACGACAACGTCGTTAACCTTGATTGGTTCTGCCGCCTTGAACCACTTGGTCCGGCGCGTTAGCGTGGGGAGATACTCTCGGACCCAGCGCTGCCAGAACATATCGATCATGGCCTGGGAAATCCGCCACTGCTTCCTCAGGCACTTCTCATCAAACTTCCCTGGCGCAACAGCTCGGTGGTTGCCGCCGAGCAGAAAGTGATTCGGTGTCAGACTCTCAGCATCAGCATGGTCGATAGAAACGTGCGTCAGTGGCCGGCCATTTACGATGCACTCTGCCTCCGCCATGACGGTGGTCAGCACCTCGTCACGTGGCGTCCGTTCCTTGAGAGTCGCTTTCAGGGCGATCTTTACTGAGCGCACTAAGCGCTCCCAAGCGCCACCCATGTGGGGCGCGGCAGGAGGGTTGAAGACCCACTTGATGTTTCTGGGCGTCAGCTCACGCATGAGGTCACCGACATCTAGCGCTGCAATCGCCTCTGCGAGCTCCCGTTCAGCTCCTTTGAAATTCGTGCCATTGTCCGAATACAGTACAGCAGGGTATCCGCGCCGAGCGATCATGCGGCGGATAGCCATGATACACGAGTCGGTTGTCAGGCTGGAGGCTATTTCCAGGTGCACGGCTCGAACGGTCAAACACGTGAATAGAACGCCATATCGTTTCTCGCGTCGACGCCCGACAGTCACCTCAATTGGACCGAAGTAGTCAACTCCCGTGTGGGAGAACGGGCGCTCATACGCTGCGGTTCTGCACTCCGGTAGCGGCGCCATTACCGGTGGCTGCGGTGTGGCTGCGAGGTGACGGCACCTCAAACAGGAGTTCCAGGCACGGCGAACAGCGGCTCGAGATCTGGGAATCCAGTACTGCTGGCGTAAATCGTTCCGAACTTGTTCCTGCCCTTGATGACCTGCCCAGACGTGGTGCTGCAGGATGAGTAATCGGGTGTAGCGATGGTCAGGGTCGAGTAACACTGGATGCTTTGTAGACTCAGGCAAGTGAGGCGTGTTGTCTGTTCTCCCGTGAACCACTATGGTGCTGTCCAATAGGGTCAGCGTCAGCGATGCCAGGCGGCTGTTGCGGGTGACTGGCTTGCCCTGCTGCAGCGCGGCGAGTTCGTCAGGGAACGACTGTTGCTGCACGTTCTCCCACCAGAGCTGCTGGGCGTGTCGGAACTCTGATGGCAACAGTTCGCTACTGGGATTCACGGCTTTCTTGGCAACTCTAGCCTTCAGGCGCTCAACGAAGCGGGTCACCCAGGCTGTGGTGCGAACCAGACGCATCCATGACGAAAACCTGGCGATATCGGGGAGCGCTTCCTGCAGGGACGTCGTGGCGACAGTGGCCCCGCAGAACTCTCGCTTCAGCTCGGGGTCCGTGTCCTCTGGCTCCACTTCAGGAGCGGCGGATGGCCAACTAGCTGGTTGGTTGTGCAGAAAGTCGGGCCCTTGCAGCCAACGTGTCGATTCGACGATTTCCATAACAGGTACGCCGCGGGAGAGGTCATCGGCTACGTTGTCAGCAGTGGGTACCCAGCGCCAGTTGGACTCGTTGGTGAGCTCCTTGATCTCGCCGACGCGGTGTGCCACAAACGGCTTGTAGCACCTGGCATCAGCTCGTATCCAGCTCAGGGCGGTCTGAGAATCGGACCACAGAACGGACTTGCAGCAGTCGAAGCTGTGATGCTGCAGAACAGCTGACGATAGGCGTGCGCCCAGAACGGCAGCTTGCAGCTCGAGTCTAGGGATGGACAGTGGCTTGAGTGGCGCTACTCTGGTCTTCGCCATCACTAACGATGTTGCGACGGACCCATTGCTCAACTGAAAACGCCAGTATGAGGCAGCACCGAAAGCTTTCTCACTCGCGTCGCAGAACGTGTGCAGCTCAATACTGGTAGCGTCGGCAACAGCTAGTGAGTAGCAGCGTGGGATGTTGACTTTGCAAAGCGATTGCAAGTCTTGGCACCATTCATCCCACCTGCCCTTGATAGAAGTGGGCAGCTCATCGTCCCAGCCAATACCAGAGCGCCAGATGTCCTGTAGTAGTACTCGGGCTCGGATGGTGAAGCAGGCAAGTAGTCCGAGCGGATCAAACACCGCCATCACTGTGCTGAGAGCTTGCCGCTTGGTCATGGACTTTCCAGGGCGGCTGATCTTTGCTGCGGCTGGCTGGACTCGTAGCGTGTCTGTCGCTGTGTCCCAGCGCAGGCCAAGCGTTCGCTCAACAGCATGGGCATGCTCAACATCAAGGTCAACGGTTGTTGTGTTGGCTCTTAGCGCTTCTGGTACAGATGCCAGAACGGCTGGCGAGTTGCTGATCCAATGACGGATGACGAAGCCTCCGTCCTTGTGGATGCGGATGACGTCAGCAGACAGTGAGGTGGCTTCTTCAACGGTGTCTGTTGAGTCAAAGTAGTCGTCCATGTAGTGACGCTTGACTATGGCAGTCTGCAGCCGAGGCGACGTCTGCGGGTGGCTGTGAGCATTGTGGTTCTTAACGAACATTGCCGACGAAGGGGACGACGTCGCGCCAAATGTCATTGACTTCATCCTGAAGACATCAGGTGGTTGACTCTGATCGGTCCGCCACAGGAACCGTTGGCTGTCTCGGTCGGCTTCACGGATCTGAACCTGGTGGAACATTTCCGCAATGTCGGCACCGAATGCAATACGGCGCTCCCGGAAACCGAACAGAACCGTTGGCAGTGGACGGAGCAGGTCTGGCCCGGAGAGCAGCGCATCATTAAGGCTCCTCCCACCTGTCTTTGACGCCGCGTCAAAGACCAATCTCAGCTTTCCGGGTTTATTCGGGTTCGTCACACCAAAGTGGGGAAGGTACCATGCTGCAGGCGGCTCATGTGCAGCTAATTCTGGTGTCAGCTTCTCGGCGTAACCCTTGGCGACGTACTGCTCAAGCTTGGTACTGTACTGACGGGCGAATTCAGGCTGTCTCACCATCTTCCTCTCGAGAGAAAGAAGCCGCGTCATGGCAGCTGCTTTGCTGCTAGGCATTGTGGTATTGTCCTCCTTCCACAGGAGACCCGTCTCCCACCTAGTGCCGCATGAGCTGCGCTGGGTGGTTGCAACCTGAATATGCTGAGCACGCTTCTCCCGCTCACTGAGAAGTGAGCTGGTAGTGACTTGAACGCCGAAGTTGTCGGTACGGAAGCTGTCCTTGACTAGGTCGTGCAATTCGTCGTCAGCGCTGGTGGAATGGACCAAGGTGAAATGCTCGTCCACTCTGCTGCGATGGCTGCCGACGTGTCCATGTACCACCCAACCAAGTAATGTTCGGCTTGCGACCGGAGCATTCGGCGGGCCTTCTACTACTTCACGGCTGATGGTGAGGTTGATGTTGTCCTGCCCAATCAAGAGCCTGGGCCGCTCGTGCAATTTGCTGACAGGGACGTGTGCAAGATGGGTCCAGGACTTCCGCACACGATCCACAGACGTTACGGAGCATGGCAGGCGCAGGTTGGTGACCGTCCTTGCTCCGAGCAAGGGATGGAGCTCCCCGGAATCGCCAGAAATCTCTAGGTCGACGCACAGAGATTTGGGGTGCCGCTGCCGCTGCGTGTCCGTCCATGACAAGGTGAGCGGGGTCACCGTGCCAGTGGCACCGACTTCCGCGGCCAGGGATGAGTCGACCAGAGTGACGGTCGAAGCCTCATCGAACAAAGCGCACACTCTGACATCGCCGGCTGGGCCGTGCAGGGTGACCGGTGCCACACGCAGCATTACTTCACCCGTCTGCTCTGTCACGGCACACAGGTGTGTCTCGTCTCTTTCGCCTACGGTATCTGAGGCGTCAGAGTGCAGGAGTTTGTGGTGGCGTTTGCTGCAGCCGTGAACAGGACACTCCGTCGGGCGTGGGCAGTCTGGCAGACGATGACCCTTACGGAGGCATGTAAAACAACGTCTTTGCTCCTTGACCCATTTCCAGCGACTACGTACTGACTGGCCCAGGAACTTTCTGCACTCGGTAGTAGCATGGGAGCGACCGTTGCAGAAATCGCAGCGATCGCTGCTTCCACTGCTGCTGGTCGTTGTGGCGAGTGACGGGTCCGTTCGACGAGGCGGTGGCCTGTGGTCGGTGGCGGACGGTCGAGGGATGTGGACGTATGATGCAGAGAGGGCTACCTGCTGAAGCCAAGAAGATAGCGTTGCAATACTGACATCATCAGGTGGCATACTACGGACAATGTCTCCCCACTGGAGGCGCAGACTTGCTGGTAGCTTGCTCACTAGCTCCTGCCGAAGTTGCGGGTTCAACATGTGGCCTGGTGTCCTGAGCAGCTGCATAGTTGACACCAAAGTTTGCACGGCAGTGGCGAATACCATGAGGGCGTCAAAATCATCGGCTCGGATGGAGCTCAGGCTCTTGGCCTTGTGGATGAGCGTGCTGATCACCAGCTCAGCACGTCCAAACCGGAGCTCCAAAGTCCGCAGCACCTGGTCGACGTTGCCGGGGACGGTAAGCAGGCCAACCACTGCTTCCTTCGCCTTGCCGCGCAGGCATTTCTGCAATCGGATGAGGTTCTCTGCATCCGTGAACTCACACGCAGTGGTGGTGGAGTGGTACACATTAAAAAACAACGGCCACTCCTCCGGTTGGCCAGAGAACGTGGGCAAGTCCCTGCCCATGGTCTGGCGAGCCAAGAACTTGTTAGTGCTGGCCGGCTGGCGTTCAGGTGGCGCAGGTGGAGCGCGCGCAGTTAGTGGACTGGCTTGCGGGACCTGACCCAATGTCTGGTGCAGCGCTTGCTCTGTCATTACCAGCTCGGACCGCGTACGATCAAGCTGTTGTTGGAGGTGCAGCTCCCTAGCACCTGGCGAATCACCGAGGCTCGTCATGGGCACGGTCAGAAATGGGGCTGCCTCCGCGTTCAAGCGGGTTACTGGACCTGGCGCTGACAGGCTTACAGCCGGAGCTGGTGCAGACTGGCGTACTGCAGGAGCTGGCGCTGACTGGCGTACCGCAGGAGCTGGCGCTGACTGGCGTACAGCCGGAGACGCTACATACTGAGAAGCAGGCTGGTGCAGAATGCCTGGCTGGGTCCTGCGCTGCGCAAACAGCTCCCGGGTGGACGAGACACTCGCCAAAGCGGCACAAGCGGACTGTGCTGTGGCAACACTGGGCGTCTGATCAGGGACGTAGAAAACGTCTTGGGTCCTCACCCACTCTTCCACCCGTGCCACTTTACTGGTGTGGACAGCAGTGGCAAGGGCTGGCTGCAGTGCCAGACTCCCACTGGTATTGCTACCGGCAGCACCAGGAAGACCACTACGGACTGAGCTGCCTGCTCTGCTGGTGGCGTCTGCAATTTCTGCCAGCGCAGCTTTCAGTTCCAAATCCACCAGCGTTTTTTTGCGGGCCAGCTCCTGTTCCTCGAGCACCTGAATTTTCTTCGCTGCTTCTAGCTGAGCCTGCGCTCGAAGCATTCGCCGGCGAGTTGCAGAGCTGGACGACGCAGCAGACTTTGAGGCTGCAACACTTCGGTTTGACACAGGTGTCAGTGGGGCATCGTGTCCAGCGGCGGGCTCCCACTCTCCCAGCCTATCGGGGGGTATTCCAGCGTTAGTCCTGCTGCTCCGACGCAGCTCCTGGTCAGACATTGTGACACTACTACTAGACTGACAGTTACTGAAACTGCGGCCGGACTAAAATTGACAATCACAAACAAACAAATTGACACTACGAAAGAAGACTGTACTGAAGCTACAAGGTTGAGTCGAAGTAAGGCTCGAAGGACCAAATGTTCCAGGCAAGAATTCAAATTCCGATACACGTGCACAGGCACACTCTCCGAACGCAAATGGGACAACACACCATTACTAGACGTTCTGGATTTCTCCTTGCAAACACACTTCCACCATAACCGGCATAACTCTAAAACCAAAACTGCAAAAGGAAGCAAAAAAGGGCCAGCAAAGGCACAGCGCGCTTGCGCCACGACATACACGGACACGTGACACAAAAGGCATCATAGCTAGTGCGAGCATGACTCATAGTCATAGCTCAGTCATACAGCACAGCGCAGTTGTACAAGCGCATGATCGCGGGTACAAAGGGTTTCAAAAATACAAATAAATTATCATGAGAGCAGCTCAAACAACTACACGTTCGAAGCAGAAACAGAATAGAAGAGAGACAGAGAAGCAGAGTAGAACACGACTAGACAGAAGGAGAGAATTATGATTCCAATTATCAACGTCAGTAGAACAATAGCATGGCTGAAAACTGGAGCATCTCCACGTGCGCGCTCGCAGCAATGTGACTCAGAGACAGAGGAAGATGAATAAATAAACAGACAAGGTAAGGTCAAAACGAGAATCATTCAAGAGGCTGTCTTGAAACATTTACAGAACAGGTGAGTAGCGACAACAGAAGGAATAAGTACTATACTAACAAACTTACAGCCCAGCAGGAAGGGTGAATAAGTAGATTTCGATAGAAATTTCTGTAAATTTCCAGTCTCTACAAGCCTATATCTATAGCCGAAATGGCCGTGGTCAAAGTCTTTCCGTGCTCTCTCTCTCTCTCTCTCTCTCTCTCTCTTTCTGGATTGATTGCTTCTCATATCCCTGTATTTTCATGTCATTGTGTGTGTGTGTGTGCGTGCGTGCGTGCGTGCGTGTATGTGTGTGTGTGTGTGTGTGTGTGTGTGTGTGTGTGTGTGTGCGTGCGCCCGCATGTGCGCGTGTCGATAATGTCTGCATATGCATGTCTATTCCTCAGAACATTGGATGGAAACAAGCTTAGTGCTCTAGACTCTAGTTTGTTCGTGTATCTGACTCGTTTGGAAGAGCTGTAAGGATATCTGCAGGGCTTGTCTTGGGTGCGAGGGAAAGAGTTCACCCGTCCTAAATTAGGCTGATAGAACGGTCCGACACTTTTCACATCCATGCACTCTTGTAGCTATTACTGCGACGTTGTGAGTGTGCTTACTGAGGGTTCTGGCAATGGACCAACCTTAAAAAGTCATGATTGGAAGCTGTGGCCTTAGTAAAAAAAAAATAAAAAATAAAAAAAATAAAAAAAGGAGTGTCGGCTTCAACGCAGGCCGGATGCACAGAAATGGTGAGGAGGGGGCGGGGGAGAGATGAAGACTACAATGAAAGATGGAGTGGCCATGTTGGCTCCAACTCCTTCCTTGATCAGCGGGGGCATAGGAGATGGTCCGGCTGGTCCAGCTCTGCCCAAGCCACTTTTCATTCAATTATTATTATTATTATTAGACACAATCTCATAGCATGTGACAAGCATAGCTAATGCAGGGACAGAATCCCCTGAGACAAGGGCGTTGAGCCAGCCACGGCAATCAACATGTTTGTGTGGTGAAGGAGGCACGTAGTAGAGCGAATAGTTGCCACACGTGTTGTAGTTCTCACTCAACCTGCACACTACTCATGCACAGTTCCACTGGTACACACGAATCGGAGAGTTTAGAAATACATTGCATTGAAAGCGAACATGGAAGTACAGGTAAAACCGGAGAGGAAAGACAATGCAGCACACGAGGCCAAGGCAGATCCGAGAAGAAGCCCACTGCACACATGAGCACACTCTGGATACCAAGAGAAGGCTGCACAGCAACAGCAGCTACGTGCACGGCAACAGTAACTACGATAATAATAATGATGACGTCACACATAACATGCTTGTAATCTATAACTGTGACGTCGCACATAACATGCAGGACTTCTAAAGTTGTTCTGCTGCCGCCTCCCCCCCCCCCCCCCCCTGCCCAGTATTTGTCTGCATTTGACAGAAATTGAAGTTTTCCTTGCGGCATGGATTCGGCATCAATCATTGGTCTGTATGCCTATGGGAACTTAAATTGAAGTATGGATGTTGAGCAAATGGTGATTGTGTAGTATAGGCCAATGATTACTTATTATTTCTTACATTTTGTATTTCCTGCTCCTGTCCACGTGACGAATCTCTGGCCTTGTAAGCTGCGCGCATGCCCACGTGTTTCTGGCCTTTCTCTCTCTTCTCCGTCAAGACAAGTAACATTAGTTTTACTATCGATATGAACAGTTTGAGTGTCTGGTATTACTATTAGGAAAGGGAATCCTACATTGGTGGCAGCGGTGGGATTCGAACCCACGCCTCCGGAGAGACTGGCATCATGCCCAGTGCACTGTACACTGCAATGCAGTCAGGGCTTTGCCCTTGTTTGTCAGATTTGTTTTGCGGTCGGGCAAAATCCATGATGCAAGACGAACGATTGCGTGCGCGCGTGTGTGCACGTTTGTGTGTGCATGTACATGTGTGTGCATGTACATGTGTGAGCATGCATGTGTGTATGTGCAGCTGTGAGGAGTGGGTCATGCTCATGCATATTTGAACACTGACAATACCAGTACGTACATCACCCTGTATGCTCTTCTTTCACTCTTGCGCGCAGACATCTTCAAGGCAACAGTCTCTCACAGCTGCCATCTTCCACCGTGTTCATTTATTTGGCACAACTTGTTGATCTGTAAGTCTCTAGTGGCTATGTCTGCATAGTATACACAAACGGCACGAAGGAGGTATACAGAGTTCGTCGCAACTCCGAATTTCTGGCACAATGCAATCATCAGGCGACTTCTACGTGATATAACAATAAAAATAAAAATAATTGTAGCAGCGGTATGTTTAATTGTTTATGTCCACATCATTACATTAGCACCGGTATCTCTTTGTGCCTCTGTCAAATTGTGCTTGCACAACAAAAGAGAAAGGAGAAAGGAGTTGAACACACCCATTCCCAGAGCACTGCAGATCCAAACTAGGTCCATTAGTTTAGGTTTAGAGGCACTTGGCCATTGTCAGGTAAAAGAAACGAGGATGGTTTCTCTGGAACGTAAATTCATGGAACTGGTTCGGATGTGCAGTCCTGCGGGAATTGGTGTGTAGCTTAGTTCTTGTTTCCGCCCTTGAAGCTGCAAGAAGCTTGACGACTGCTACACTCGATAAATCATTCCGAGAACCAGCACACTTCAACAAAGCCATTTGCACAGTAACAAGCGAGCCAGCGTTAGAAAATTATTCCAGAGACTAATACCAAATTCCAGCCAGCTGTATGGCCTCTGATCTGCGTGCCCTGGGATGCCGTTCCAAGCAACAGCAATTCCCTGACTCTTTCGGCAAGTTCGGCCGCCATTCAATTCCTTCATCACATAGACGTCAAACAGACTGCAGTATAAAAACCTCGTCTCAATCGCAAGCATGTGAGCATTCTCAAGTATGATGCAGAACCCTGGGGGGGGGGGGGGAGTCCCTCGCCGAGTTCCATCCTCATAATTTCGAATCCTGGATTGGAGCGCCTAGATGCCATGCGTATGAGTTTTGAGACAGAATGGCTTACATAATAGATGACTGGTGACAACAGGCTCTTTTGTTTCCTTCATGTATGAAAAGGAAGCTTCCTGAAATTCCATTCTGACAAAGTTAAGCCTAGCTCACATTCGACAGGGCGTGATGGGACGGTCTGACGGCATCCAATGTGAACACCCAGAACGGGGACGCAACCGTACGAATGAGGAAGCGATGGGAAGAGTTGAATCTGTTCTACTTTTCATACAGTATGCGGGGACGTTTTGAGTGTGAACAGGAGATGGTGGCGTGCGCTGACTACTCCCGTTTCATACTTGGAAATATTTTGCATTTCGAGCACAAAGTTTCCCATTATAACTCGCAGAATGGCTAACACGACTTGAGTTGAATTTTAGCAAGGCAAGATTTCATGTCACTTCCTGTATTTAGGGATAGTCCAGGAGTGTGGCAGACAAACTGTTTCATCATTTCCTGGGGCTATTAGAACAGCACAACTTCCAGGGCTACTTTTTTGGTCTTCATGAAAAACTGGTATTGTGAACTTGAGTCAGCTTCATTCAGGGAGAAGTAATGGAAAGGAAATCCTGAAAAACAAGAAGTTAGGTCCGAAAGTCACCCCGTCGCGGACTGTGCCTTATGACTCACGCCGTTCAACGTTGAACATCGCAACAATTGGTGCATGCCGTGTCGTACGGTTCGTACAAGGTTTTACTGCTCACACCAGCCGTCCCAACAGGCCCTTACGTTCCGTGCCGTCAGCATTGCGTTGAATTTGAACCAGGCTTTTAGTCTAGGCAGACAAAAAGGTAAAACCCTGGATGTGGCTTGTGTGGCTGATTTCTGACATGGCCCAAGTTTAGGGTTCACGGCTTGCCACTAAAAGCACCCGTCACGTGCGCCTCCATTTTGGATTATGGACGCGCGTACAGGCCGCGACAGCGCGTATCGAAGTAAAAAAATATCGACTCGAAGTCTAGCCGGAGAGCGTACTTTTTGAATTTTTCCTTGGCTTCAGTGGCTTCACTTCACTCGGGCTTTGCATTTTTCTGACTGACCTGGACTTGATGATGGCGGCGGTGGTGGTCTTGGCGAAAGATCCAGTTCCATCTGAGACACTCTGTCGTCTTTTCTTATCTGCTGAGGTTCTGGCAAAGCGCAGCTGCATCGAACCTGACTAGATGTAGCTGCACGCATCCTTTGTTTGCCCTGCAAATCTCGATCTGTTGCTGTTTGGCCGCTGATGCCATGGAAGAAAATATTCTTCCTGTAAAGAGGCCGAAACTGAGCTAGGGCACGTCAAGATAGGTAGGGTATACAAAGAAAAAGAAATGTCATGGTCACGACAGCCAGCAGCTCACGACAGCCAACACGCTCCATCGTCGGGATTGGAAGTATCCAGCACGGCTGTTCCGAGCGCTGCTGCTCTTGTTATTCTTCTTCTTCAGAAATTCTCCACACCTTGTCGGCCAAAGTACGCGCGCGCGTGCACGGAAAATAGATGCGCTGAGCCGTTTCTTGTTCGATTTTGACAAATAATGGCTTGTTGTTTTGCTCTCGACCTTGGCAATCCTTCTACCGTTCAGTATTTTACGGAAACGCAACGGCTCCCCCTGTTTTTTTAGCCGAACTTTGGCCAAAGTTACTGGAAAACCCGGAACTCGTTTGAAAAAATACGAACGGTGGAAGTCTTGGAACGTCTTTCGTGCGTGTGGATTCAAAAATTCAGGCAGTTTGAGCCAACCGTAATGAATCCCGTAGAGTTGAAAGTGAGTGATATTGATGGGAAAATGCGATTTGAGCACTGACCGATTGTGTGGGACAGTATATGCACGCGCCTGTCACGTGCATGATGTAGCTGGCGACGCTAGCATGCCAATCCGTGAACCTTAAAGTTCTCAGGGGTCGTCCAATGCTTGCGAAAGACTGCTTCGGCTGATTTTGCAGGCCTATATGACTGTGAACTAGCCCCATACGATTGGTGTAACGAAGAGTGAATGACCTTATGCAATACGTTTTTTTTTTTTTCGCTCATACTTTATCTTGTTTCCTTGCAGGCAATTGCACGACAACAAGCTAGTGTCATTACCGGACAATATATTTGAAAAGAATCCAAACTTGCAGAGAATGTAAGGCATGCTGCAATCGGTGCTTCCATAGTGACTGTGCACTGAAGCCGGTCTTGTAATCTTGTATTTTCCTATGCAGAGCACAGGACCACCGATGGAATAATTCGCCAATGCTTGGTGGTCTAACGGAGCATAATCTTTCTGATTCTGAATCTGCAGTAAGATGTGCGTACATCAGTCACCTGGTCACCGTGCCTGCAGGCTACAGCTTGCAGCCTGTTAGTGCGCGTTCCTGTTACTCGAGTTGAGCCTTGGTGTGAAAGTTGTAACCTGCGGGCAACGCGACCAGGTGACTGGTGCACGCATATTGCAGATTCAGAATCGGAAAGATGACTGACGTGCGCATCAGCACGTGACCGCTTGCTTAACCATGTTCAATTGGGAATAAGCCTTCCTGGACCAAAACCTGTCGACTCAGCGTCCAAAAGACCACAACATGTGGGCCAATCTTGTTCATCCGTGCTTTGATAAGAACGAAATGGCGCTTTTAGAGACATTTTGCATATACATCCCCATCTAGTAGGGTTCAGTGACCCAGTTTCGGTGGAAGTGGCGTGTTCTATTTGGCAATCTCGGACGAAGGGAGAGTTTGAGCTTCCGCGGACCAATACAAGACCAATCGACTCAGCACCCGAAGATGACGAATAGTGAAATTTTGATTCTAGACCACAGTTAATTAAGGGTTAATGATAGCTTGCATGCCGCCCTGCCCTCCTCCCGGTAGAACCCAAGAAACCGGGCTGCAAAAGTGCTTTTGGTTGAGAATTTTCTTGAAACGATTGTTGAGATAAGGTCTTTGTGAGGCAAAGTAATGGCGCAAAATGCAAGACTATGTCCAGCGCGCTGCATACCGTACTCACGCGATTATTGCCCTCTCTTGAATAATGCCCTTTGTCAAATAGTGCCCAGTCTCTAAGAGCAAGTGAAAAAATACAGCCCTCTCTTTAGTAATCCCCCCCTGGGCTTGTAACCAAGCGCATGGTCAAGTTTGGTATTCTTTTGGTAATGTTCTTGTCCAGGTCATTAAACCGGTGGTTTCGGGATCAAAATCGCAGTTCTTGTTGCCCTTTCTGTGGTGCCGTGATAGTTTACAGTAAACTTTAGGCTCTGTTTTTCTTTGCCTTCTTTTTTTATGTGGGCTGACCTAAATGTAACAGCATTGAAACAATAGTGCCCTCTTTTGTATAGTGCCCTTTCTTGTATAGTGCCCTCTCTTGAACAGTGCCCTCTCTTGAATAGTGCCCCATCCGTGATGGACATTGAAAAAAAGTGTGCCCCAGGAGCACTAATCGTGCGAGTATGGTATGTGCAATTTTATCAAAATGGCCGCACTTGCTCCTGTGTAGAAACTCTGTCCAAAGTTATTTTTTGACCATGGCACATTGATCATGGTGAGGGCCTAATGTCTTTCTTAGCCTGCCATGGCAGTGGAATTAAAAATTCTATACTCCATGCCCATGGTTACCATGGGCTGTTGCCATGGAATTTCGCAATATGCCTTGTACGATCCCATCTAAAATGTGTGGACTGCTTCATTAGCCCCATAGCAACAGTTTAGAGGGTCAAGTAGAGAGGCTGTGTAGCATGTCTGTGTATGATGGTTTTACAGGTAGGCCCAACCGGTAGGATCCAGGTCTATGCAAGCTATCATTAAAGCATATATATAACATTGGTATTCGCTCTTCCTCTTGCTGCAGAACTCTACATGGCAACGATTTAGCAACACTGAGCACACTTCACTTTCAGCATCAGAGCAAACTTCTTGAGCTGTAAGTGATATAGAACTGCAAGGAGCAGTGAAATTCAATAGATTCAGAAACATGTTTTTCAACAATGTTCATTCGTGAATCTCCATGTACGAGTAGACGGCCTATTCAGTAGAGCCTGTTTACACCTGTCGTCTTGAACGAGACTTGTTGTCGCCAGGGTTTATCTTTGTTCGGTGGCACGATCTCCCTGCGCGCCTTGTGCACCTGTGACGAATTTGGCTGTGGGAGGTAACGTGACAGGTTGCGCTGCAGATGGTCACAGGACGAATTTGTCCAGCACTCGGGCTGGAAATGGCCCAGCTGCCTGCAGCCGAAACAGCGAAGACCCTGAGCCCATGGGTACGGATCCGGACCCATCCTAGTCTCACACTCTGCTTCCAAGAGCCTGGTCCTCGTGTCACAGAGCTTTTCCAAGCTGTGTGTCTGAGCTTGTGTGCTTGTGCATGTGTGTATGTGTGTGTGTGTGTGTATGTGTATGTGGGTGTGTGTGGGTGTGCGTGCGTGCGTGCGTGCGTGCGTGCGTGTGTGCGTGCGTGCGTGTGTGTGTGTGTGTGTGTGTGTGTGCATGATTGAAAGTAACATGAGGAAAAATACACTTAGAAACGTGTAGTAGTCTGTACGTGTTAGTATGAGCTGAGTTTCACTAAATTGTCTTTATGGGTAAATACCCCACGAGACGGAGGGCATCTGCTAGCTAATATTCCCTCATGTGAGTTAGCTGAGTGACTGTGTCACAAGCATTCATCAGGAGATATCATATTCCACTTCTTACACATGGTCAAGGAAGATCATCCCAAATGGAAGAAATATGAACAACAACTGACGATGTTGCGTCGAGGCAAGAAACTAACAGAGACTGCATGTTTAACTATCAGCGCAACTCAGTATCGTATTTATATAAAAGATCTAACTAAGCCATACGCTTCTCCTTTCTCATTATTGACTGCCGCAGAACCCTACAGGATAATGCCCTGGACAATGTTTCCCTAATGGCCTTCAATACTCTGCCCAAGATGCATAGCTTGTAAGTGCTACTAATCTCTACGTATGAGCTTGGTTCGGTGAATGAGCATCATCATCCTGCCTTTCGAATACTGTATATCAAGAATTTTGTTTACAAACTTAGACAGTCAAGTGTCAAGTTCAGCAGGAAGCGTGTGTCCCATGTTGGAGCAACCAACTTTATCAATATTTTTTGTACACACGATTTTTTCATAAATTTCATTTCTACCTACAACCCATTCATTATTCATCTTGCTTTACAGTACATGTACAGAATGTTTTTTTTTAACGCCAAGAGTCTCTGCAGTGCATTTCGATAACGTAGACTCAAAGTCTCTTGATTTCCATCAAGGTCTTTTTAAGTACTGGAGAACTTTCTCACTGCATTTTGGGTTTCTCTGTGCCTCCCAATTCTGCTTGTATGCCTTGAATTCGCCGAAAACAAAGTGTTTGATGTCATGAAGGTTTGGGATTTTGTTGGCCTTGGAAAGTTCCCAAAGTGATAAGGCATGTACGCCCTTTGTGGGTTTTGATGCGTATGCTGCTAACGTTACAAGGCTCACGGTGCAAACATTCATGGGAAAACGCAGACTGTCTGACATGTATTGAATGCCATCTGCATGTAGCAGAAAATGTGGTGCGGCGGGTGCCTAACTAAGTGTGTGCTTGTATCGATTGGTCTCTCCTCACTGCAGGAACTTGTCCGGCAATGCCTTATCATCTGATAGCGGGAATCTGAACTTGGGAAATATGACCGAACTCAGCATTCTGTACGTTGGAAAGTAGTTCAATCTCCCACTTTCCTGTCTTCATTTCCTTTCGTTTCAATTCTCTGTGCATCCTTCGCTTGGTCGAATGGTGTTCTCCCGGGTGACACACAGCTCTACTTTAGGATTGATAGCTTGCATAGACCCTTGTCCTACTGGTAGGACAGGCTACCAGTAGGAACATCCTACACAGAATGCTGCATGGCCTGGGTTCTAACATTAAAACCTAAAACCTGGTGCATACCTGCAGTAGAGGATGGAATTTTGCGCTCCACTGCCAGGGCAAGCTGAGAACGACCTTTAATCCTCACCACGATTTATGTGTAGGATTCCCTTTCTTACCACTGTGAAAATTCACTTTGGACATAGTTGGCAGCGTTTCGACCGGAGCATGCGCGGCCATTGTGACTATTATTAAAATTGCACATAATATTAAGCAACGTACTGGACGTAGTCGTGCATTCTGCGCCATTTATTAACCCTTTGAGGACTGCCATAAAACGCCTGGATTCCTGCAGCGTACGGTACGTGCAGTGGCGCGCAACAGTCGCAGTGCGTCCCAGTACGCATTCGAAAATTATCCAACTTCACTCACTCACCAGTTGTGGAACTTCGTCATCCTGGTGTCTTTGGAAAGCTACATAATTATCTCCTCTTTCCTATTGTCTCGTCGTGATGAATATCTGATGACTGCCACTGCCCATTCAAAGCAGACCCGCTGTTGTTCTGTGACTGCGAAGGACCGTGTTCGTTCCTTTCCCACCTCTATTGAAACTGATTTGATCTTCTTCTATCGTCATGTATTCCCTTCTATGAACTACAGAGACCTGAGCCACAATGCGTTGACAAGTCTCCCAGCACTTCCTCTCGCCAATCTTGACATATTGTAAGTCTGTGCAATAGTCGTTGATGGCCCTGGGTGTCTTCAACGACAAGTTTAGATACAAATGACGAGTCAAGCCTTCTCCTGCCCCACCCGCCTCAAAGCACGCATATGCTATTCTGTTAGCACTCCATAGCATTTCCCCGTGTGCGTGATTTTGAGGGAGAAAGACCCTTGCATATTGTGAATAGTCCACGAACAGGTGGAGAACAATCACATCTGTCCAAAACCGGTAGCACGGTGCACCTGCCAACTCATTCACTTTCTTCCTATCATGGTCTCTGCTACAGGAATATTTCATCCAATTCAATCCACACCATACCGCAAGGAGTGTTCAACTCTCTCAAGTTGCTTACAGTTCTGTAAGTAGAACATACATGTGTGTATCTTCTGTCCGCAGATTGTGTTTGTCCATTTACCTGCATGTGCTTGTATCGTATCTTCTGGATTTTCGGCCAGTCTTATTTCACCGCCTGCCTGAATTATGCGCTGCATCACTTTGGGGTCTTTGCATTGAATTGGGGTGCTGGTGGGGTGGTGCTGGTGGGGTGGTGCTGGTGGGGTGGCGCTGGTGGGGTGGTGCTGGTGTTGTGGTGCTGGTGGGGTGGTGCTGGTGGGGTGGTGCTGGTGGGGTGGGGCAGGGTGGGTGGAGCTGGTGGGGTGGTGCTGGTGGGGTGGTTCTGGTGCTGGTGCTGCTGGTGGTGTTATGTAAAATCCAGGGCAAGCAGCCAACCTTACAGGGATGCAGCAATACCGTGAAAACTGCATGCTATCCAGTAGAGCTGCTGATGGGCTGCCGGCAAGGGTACAGTCATGTGACGAAACACTGATATGTTTTCCCCTGTATTGCTGGTATCCAGAGACATGCACAACCTCAACGTGACCCATCTTCCCGCTGGTGCTTTCCAAAACAATTCACTCCTGAGAATTCTGTAAGTCGTGTCTAGAATAAGGTATTGTGTGTATATTTCCACCAGCACTGAATATCGACCAATGCAGGAAGTGCACTGAGACACTGTGCTATGTATATCCACGTGACAATGAAACACATGGAAGGAGAACCAGAGACGGAGACAAAGACAGAGACATAGAGAGACAGAGAAAGAGAGTGAGACAGAGACAGAGACAGAGAAACACAGAGAAATACAGAGAAACACAGAGAAACACAGAGAAAGAGAGAGCGTGAGACAGACAGACAGACAGACAGACAGGCAGCCAGACAGACAGACAGACAGACAGACAGACAGACAGACAGACAGACAGACAGACAGACAGACAGACAGACAAACAGATGGACACAAGTGGACATGCAACAACAACTGGGAGCCATGAGAAAAGAAACACGTGTGAGCACGCATAGTGCACTGAATCAGCTGAACAACAATACACACATGCATGCACATAGCACGGGGTGTCATTGTGGGATTAGACTAGTTTCACATCTTTGTCGGGAGAATGAAGTTGAAGACACCACTGCTGCTGTACTTATGGTTGATTAGTATGGTGTTAAAGACACCTGGAAATATGGCTGTGTTGTAGTACGTTATTTTGTGTACGTCGTGTGTACGTCATGTTGGTGCATGCGCGTGTTGCTGTGGTATGAAAAGCTGTCTTCGTCTTGAGTTCACCATGTCTTCGTCTTGAGTTCATCATGTCTTCGTCTTGTGAGTTCATCATGTCTTCGTCTTGAGTTCGTCATGTCTAGTTGTGTTTCGTCGTCGTGTCAATAAACAGTCTTCTAAATGTAGTTATCGTCGTCCCTTTGTATAAGTGTGGAGATGGCACGGGACTGGGAGCAGGAAGAGAAGGCCAGGTACAACATTGGTGGCAGCGGTAATGGAAATTTGTAAATCTCAACTTCTGGATTCGTCCTGCGTGGCCTTCGCTCCCAGTTTCCGATGTCATCTCCAGTCGTCCTATCGTCACAGTTTTGTCCGTCTTGAAGAAGTTCGTCCGTCGTCCTCGTCCTTCATCATTCGTCTCTCCCGTCTCTTGGCAGTCGTCGTCACTGGTGGTCCCGGACACGACGTAAAACTGTGCCCAGAAGAAAAACTGAAACAGAAAAAAAAGAAGGATGGAAGGTGAAGACAAGAGGCTGCAGTGTGAGGATGTGGACGCTGAGCAGCGCTTTGAGATGGCGGACGACATGGCAGACGGCGTGAGGAGTTTCGTTGGTGAGAGGGTACGTGTGTTGTTGTGAACGTGATGAGAATGTGAGTTGTGTATTTTCTGTTCTCCCGACATTTTGTTCTTTATTATTTGCTCTCCTCGAGGGTAAAGAGGCGCCCGCACAGCGCGTGTGTTCTGTTCGTTTTTTGATTTGCTCTTCTATGAGGATAACTAGAGGCCCCCACAGAGCCAGTGGATTTTGTTCTTTTTGTTATTCCTATGATTTGTGCTCTCACATTTTAGAATTTTTGCGTGATCGTGAGGTGGTGTGTTGAGTGAAACAGTTTAGAGTTTTTGAGGTTATCAGTTCCTACACGTGTGACAGCGATCGTGGCTGGTGTTCTGGGTGGGCGGACAGAGTTTTTAATAATCTGCAGTGCAGGCAGAGGTGTTTTATTTATGGGTGTGACTGGTGTGGTATGATTGAGTGATTTGTGTGATCTTTTCCTCTTTTTTACTCTGTTTTATTATTAGAATCGAGGACGATTCTACTCTTGGGAGGGAGTTATGTTGTAGTACGTTATTTTGTGTACGTCGTGTGTACGTCATGTTGGTGCATGCGCGTGTTGCTGTGGTATGAAAAGCTGTCTTCGTCTTGAGTTCACCATGTCTTCGTCTTGAGTTCATCATGTCTTCGTCTTGTGAGTTCATCATGTCTTCGTCTTGAGTTCGTCATGTCTAGTTGTGTTTCATCGTCGTGTCAATAAACAGTCTTCTAAATGTAGTTATCATCGTCCCTTTGTATAAGTGTGGAGATGGCACGGGACTGGGAGCAGGAAGAGAAGGCCAGGTACAACAGCTGCACCTGCCCACACACGCTCTCTAGGCTGCGAAGTTCTGGCACAGAGCTCTCCTTCTCACCAACACCGCCATCAGGTAGCGCATGGCACCTAGAAGAGGTAAATACACGCCTGTCCACTCACGCTCTCTAGGCTGCAAAGTTCTGGCACAGAGCTCTCCTTCTCACCACCACCACCATCAGTTCGCGCCTGGCGCCTAGTGACATGTCGATGCATGGTTGGCGGTATCCGACATAGCAGGCTGGTACATCAGGTAGTGCATAGCACATAGAAGATGACACAGCAACGTACGTTTCGTCCCAGATGGACTCATCAGGCAAACTTCTTCTTGGATGTCTTCATACGGAGCTTGACTCAGGAGAATGAAGTTGAAGACACCACAGCAGCTGTGTCATCTTCTATGTGCCATGTGCTACCTGATGTACCAGCCTGCTATGTCGGAGACCGCCAACCATGCATCGGCTAGGCACCAGGCGCGAACTGATGGTGGTGGTGGTGGTGGTGAGAAGGAGAGCTCTGTGCCAGAACTTTGCCGCCTAGAGAGCGGTGTGGGCAGGCGTGTATTTCCCGCCATATTGCCAGGTGTGTTTTTACCACCATACTAATCAACCATAAGTACAGCTGCAGTGGTGTTTAACTTCAAGATTGCCTGATGAGTCCAGCGGGGACGAAACGTACGTCGCCATCGAGCTATGTCGTTGCTGTGTCATCTTCTATGGGCCATGCCCTACCTGATGTACCAGTCTGCTATGTCGGATACCGCCAACCATGCATCGACTAGGCGCCAGGCGCGAACTGATGGTGGTGGTGGTGAGAAGGAGAGGCCTGTGCCAGAACTTTGCAGCCTAGAGAGCGTGTGTGGGCAGGTGTGTCTTTACCACCATACTGCCAGGTGTGTCTTTACCACCATACTAATCAATCACGTCTTTTTCATCGGACTAAATCTGTTCATGACACGTGGACAGTGGAACCAACATGGCCGACATCATGTGACCAACAGATGCCAGTGTTGAGTTGAGTTGGAACCAACCTGGATGCCCTGTCAGGTCATGTGTTAGTTATGCAACAGCTCTAAACCAGGTACAGAGTGCATACACAAGCCCATATAGGCCACAGCATGAAACCAGATGGAAATATTGAATGGCTTTAAAACGCATATCAGACGAGACGTGGCTCACATTGGCGCTGCAATACTGTGTAAGGAGATCATGAATGGTGTTGCAATTCCTGACAGGCTTCCTATCATGTACATGCTGTCCTTGTTGTTTGCTGAAATAGGTCCTTGGAATCCAACAAGCTACAGTCACTGAATGCTGATGTCTTCCAAAGCCTCATCGACCTCACAAACCTGTAAGCTTTGCGTTCTGTTTGATTGCCAAGTGAATGCATTCCTGTGTATGCCGTATTTCCCCAGGGTATAAGCCGCCGCACTGGTATATCGGGGTGTGACTGTTAGGTTGAATCCAGATCCCGATCCATAGGATCCACTTGGTCTGCAGTGATCGATTGGTCGAATCCCAATCCAGATTCATCGGATTTGGATCCGAGTAACCCTGCCCCGCGAGCAGGGTTGACTGGATCTAACGGATTCAATTTTGCCAAACAAGACATTTGTATGTGTTTGGCGGTAACTATCATTGTTATACACATTTTAGTATACATACGGATGCACTGGATGAAAATTCTTTCATTAGTGATGTCGAAAAAATTATTGACGTTTCGGGCCAGTCACCGACCCCATCCACTTTCTGAACTAGTATATTTACGGCAGAAAAAGATACCTACATTGTATTATTCAAATAATCTACGTGGAGATAAAGTTTAATAATGGCTATGAAAAGTATGAATGCCGCAGACATCTCTTTATTTTAGTTCTCACTTTTTGTAATACTTACCACAAGTTACCCGTCATGTGTCACACTTCTTTGGATTTTTAACCTTTGTTTTTCCCTTGATCTCTTTAGTTCCGTATTTCCACTGATGATCGGAGCGTGAAAATCGATTTTGGAAACACACAAAACCAAACCTTGAACAAATTGTCATGTTGCGTGGTGATGTCTGCGGCATTCATACTTTTCATAGCTATCATTGTATTATTATTAACCCTTTGAGACCCCAACGATCGAATTCGATCGTTTGGTATACAGTGACACTAAAATAATTATATATCTGGTGTTCCTTCACCGATTTTCATAAACAAAGGATCTACGTTTCGCGAAGACCCTTGGCTATCACGTCGAAGTTATCCGAAGTCTCTAGGAGTTACAATGCCGCCGTCGTGAGACTCGAAGTCGGAGACAAACTGAAAAATGCACTCAGATCGAAAAATTCAAATTTTCACGCTGCACTTGGCAGGAGATTTCGGAATGGTATGTCATATTCAAGCATGCTGCACACCAAAATTTTGCGCTTGAAACGAGCTTTCTGCTGTAGTTTGTTTGAAGTCGATGCGATGAAGGAGAATGGAGTGGCGGCTGTTTGAACTTTGCTGAAGCTGTTCGCGCATGGCTGCTGTTTTGGGCGGCATTATAGGCCACGCAGAGCAGAGGCTGTGCAGGTATTTGGCTTGAGTGTGGTACTAGTCTCTTCGTCTTGGAAATGCCTTTCCAACGGTGGTTAGTTTGTAAAAATCGGTGAATGTTTCATAGAGATACGAGCGAAAGTGCATGTTATTAATTTTGAAGGTGCGTAAATTGTCGTACTTTCAGTGGGGTCTCAAAGGGTTAACAGCATTGTTGACCAGGATATCCAATGAGCTTAGCATGTGTACCCGACAGTCTTATGAAGGTTGAAAAGGTCGAAGGACCTGCTGTAGCGGACATTGAAATCCGTTGAGAAGCCAAGCCGATACGGGCGCTGGCCTTGCAGCCGCAAACACTGCTGGTCCATTTTAACAGTGTGTGCGTGCATGGACGCGCTAAAGCCGTAAGGCGCCGGCCCCGGTCATCCCGTCGTATTTCAATGCCCATGACAGTAGATGCAACCGGGATGGTTCCTTGACAGGCTCTAAAGAATCAGCAGCAACTGGCAATGGTACCGGGTCACCAATGTATCACAAGGGCATGCGAGCCAATAGTTGAGAAACTGCGATCGTTTCACAGCTAGTTGCTGTGGTGATATTATAGCACCTTTCCCTGCATGGGTCTTGGCACTTAGGCTGCTATTGTTCGCACCTGCTTCCATGCACTGTTGCATGCTGCACTGCTGGACCTCTCGTGCCTTGCGCATAACGTTAGCACATTCACATGTCACCTTTCAAGCCGCCTTTGCAGCCAGCTTCCCTTTAAAGCCATTGTGTTTCACTGATCTATTCATTCTCATCTTTATAAGAGTTGGTCTGCCTTGAGCGGGACACAACAGTTGTCGTGCAGTGTTGCCAGAAAGCCCTGCATTGTTGAAGGTCGAGGCTATCCTTTTATTCCCATGTCTGCGTATCCTTTTGTTGTTCCTCTCCACTCAGGACGCTTCAGGACAACTTTTTGACAAGTCTGCCAAATGCGCTCTTCCAAGGCAACAAGTATCTGAAAACGTTGTAAGTGCTCATTCTACTGTTATGTCAAACGAACTACACTCTTACCTCGGTTGTCTGGACCCCAACGTTATGGGCACTTCTGTCTGCAGGGCACCCTTCAGACGCGTTTCAGTAGAAACATATTGCCACTCTTTGGGCACTTTTTTGGAAATAGTGATGTCATATGCCATTAAAATATCTATGACCTTTCCCCATCAAAATGTACGTGATTCGGAGTTTTGAACATTTCAAAGTTACGGGTAGTGCCTGATCCCGTACCACCCGGATAAACAAGGTATGAGTGTTGAGTGTATTAGTGATGGGAACATCCTAGGAGGACTCTCCGAACAGTCCATGCACTCTGTTGTATAATAGTTATGTGCTCTGCGTGCATTGGTACGTACTCATTACACATGCCCTCTGTTTCGAGGTACTTCCCTACGTATGCCTGTGCTGGCCGGCTGTCCCTCTGTGAGTGATGTTATTTCATAATGAGATTGATTGCTTGCCTGATGAGCCAGGACACAACAGTCCTCAGCCACTGCCAGCAGCTGAGTAACTAATACTTGCCTCTGCACATGTGCACGTGCCACCAGACGTATTCAGTAGAGATTATGCACTCCTTAAAAAGTCGTTACACAGCAGTGGCCAAAAGCAGCGCAAAGGCTCATGCAGCTGTTAGCTGCTCCCGACCTCGATGGCCTTTTGGACCGCCGCATCCAAATCAGTGGGCCGAGGTGACGCCAACGCCAAGCGCAAATCCTTCGATGCCTGGCCATCAATAAAAAGTTGCAAAAGCATTGAATCAAGCAGTGCACCTTGTTGTCCTGGGTAGGCTCGACGAGCGAGCCGACGAAGTTCCGTGGCATACCCGTGCTGAGTTTCACTCGCCAGCTTCACTCGCTGGCGAAGACTGGCCTCGTGCATCAATGCTTGCTGGGGCGGCTCAAGACGGACATGCAGAGCCTCGACTGTGTCGGAAAAGTTCATGTCAGGCGTGTGAGTTAGAATTTCGGTGAACATCTCATGAGCTGTACCAACAAGGCGAGCAGGTAGTAGCCGTAGCTTTTGTTCGTCGTCGTACCCACTCAGCTCGCATGTGTGGACGAAATGCCTCATGTACGTGGTGAAATCTTGGCCTGGCTGATTTCCGAATGTCTCAGGAAGCAAGACCGGCTTCGGCAGTGGACGTGCATGTGGTGTGTCTGTGTCCGGCAAACGAAAACGATGGGACAACCCTTGTACCGGCGAACTCTCGCGCTCTTCAGCAATGTTCATGTCACAGCCAGCTTCAGCGAAGCTACGCTCTAGCTTTTCTTGTCTCTTGGATTTCGCTGAACGGCCCATTGTGAAAAAAAATTGTTTTTGTATTTTTGAATTTTCGAAAAAAAAATTATCTTCAAAAATTTCCCGTGGACTCGATCGACGCCTCGATCAACTATCGATCTAATTCTAAATCTATTACGTAACCTATCGTGCGTAGCGGCAAACAACTAAATTTGGCAGAGACAATTCCAAATAGGCAACTACTCTACGGACACAGTGTAGCTAGACTCTACTACCCAGCTAGCAGATATCCTAACAAGACACTAGACAGCAGCCAGTATGCACAAAACACGGACACAGAAAATGTTCCGAAAATGTTTGGCCAGACAGGTTGGCGCCAATGCTTGACCTATGGACTGAGTCTGTAAACAATGCATGCAACAAGAAAACGACGAGCAGAAAGAAACACAATGCAGAAAGGAAAATATCGACGAAGAGAGTGGATGAGGATATGGTTTCACTTGCGTGGGCCTTCGTGGTTCTTCATAGTCGGCGATCTCCGAAGACGTACATACTCCGCCAGCGATGTAGTGGTGGACGTTTTCCGCTGCCACCAGTGTTAGCTGCTCCCGGCTAATGATGCCCCCTCACACCGGAACACAAGGGTATTATGATTGGATAATTAGAAGTATTCGATAAGAGTGTAAACAGAAGGAGAACAGGACAACGACCACTCAAGACTAGACTAGAACAGAACAGAACCTGGAGCATGCGCTCTTCTATGTGAGTGGCTCATTGCCAATTGGAACGAGCGGGAAATACGAATAGTGAGTATTCAGGTCGTAGCATACATACACCTATTACACAGCCCCTGCTCCCCTCGGATGGATTTATTGGATGGTGCAGGATGTCATGGAAATGGAAATGCGGCGCAACTCTGACCCGTGGGCCGGGTGTATTTGGCCATGGCTGCAGATACAAGCATTGTACAGGGAGAATGCAGAATGGGGTTACGTTGTCATCACCGGAGTGTGATCCTCGCATACCCATACAATGTGACGCCATGGTTGTGCTGTGTAGAGTATGCGGCATGGATCTCTGTTGTATTCTGTGTTTTATGCATGTTTGTTTGGCACTGTCAGCTGATCTTTCATGTGATCGCTTAGTTTCGCGTGCTTCCTGATGCGCACTGTTTTCGTATGCTGTTTAGGTTTTTCCTTTTTAGACTCAGAGATTTGAGTGGAGTTTGTTTTGAACAAGAACTGAAACTAGGAGCACTGTTGTCTTATCTGTCCGAACCCAACAGCGCGGGATAGTAGCGTTGACGTTCAGTTGCACAGTAGGCATCCAGCTGACTGGGTGACTTCAACAGGCTGTGAGGCACATGTACGGTAGAAGTACAACTTTTCGTTTACGAAATCTTTCGTTAGATCACTCCACCAGTAGGCCTGTTACGTACTAAATTTCGTTTTTGGTCAAGGTCTGTCAAGCCGAATGTTCGGAAAAAAACTTTCGTTTGGTACAAACTTTAGTTATTTCGTACCCCCTAACGAACAGTATAGCGAAAGTTAATTCCAAACGAAAATTTGTACGTATACAGTAGTGCTAGGAGAAACCGATCAACAGGTTTGACACTTGCATCCTTCGAGTCTTTCGTAGCCACACCACATAGATCCACATCGATCTATGGGAACTGTGTTGATAATAAAGTTAAATGTGAGTTCAAAATCAATTTAAGCCTCAATTTAATGTCCTGTATGTACTTTGTGTCATTCTTCACTCTTTCTAGGGACATCAGTGTCAATCAGCTGATGGAAATTTCCGACGTCGTGCTTGACAAGTTAACGTTTCTGGAACGACTGTGAGTATATGCATGTGGTGTGGTGTGTGTGTGTGTGTGTGTGTGTGTGTGTGTGTGTGTGTATGTGTGTGTGTGTGTGTGTGTGCACGCGCGTGTGTGTGCATGTGTGTGCATGTGTGTGCGTGTGTGTGTATGCATGTATGCATGTGTGCGTCCGGTTGTGTTACGCATGCTTTGTCTAAACTCTTCATCTGTATGTTCTCTGTTTGTCCTTTAGGAATCTGTCGTTCAACCAGATATCCAAAATTTCAGCGGGCGCATTCGATGGCTTACAAAGAGTACAGATTCTGTAAGTAACAAGGAAAGCCACCAGTGGAGTGAGCTATATTTTGTCAAGAACCAAATAGGGACTGGGTGGAGTAGTTGATCTAACCCCTTACGCCACACATGAAATCTTTAAAATTAAACGCAATGCGTAGCGAAGGGTGATGGCAACAACGTTTCTCCAAATTGTTTTGCCTGTGAATATTGCTGTTTTTTTTTCATAGGAAATCGTTGCTGACGATGGCCATCTAGACTGAAGTGTCTACTAACTAACACCATCAGTACCGTTGGTCAGTGTCGTGCAATGTTATCGCATGAGCTGATTGTCAAGTAACTGGTGGTGTTAGTGGACATTATAGCGTAACCTGTAGTTCCTTGGTCCTCTTTTTTTCTCATCAGTTTGGTCTTCCTGCTCCTTTCTTCTGCTCTGCTTACAGGGACCTGCAGGAGAACGGCCTTAGCACCATTCCAGCGGGTTTGTTTCAACGCACCCTTGCACTGAAACAGCTGTAAGTGTGGTGGGAGCATGACACCAGCACTCTCTTTCTGTTGTACAGTAAAACCTGGTGTAAGCGACCTCTGGGTTAAGCGACCGTGTTTTCCATGCAGGGACTGTTCTGCACAGACACTGTGGGACCTAAACATTTTCGAGACAAAGGAGCAGAAACAACAGCAGAGTAGAGCGATCGAGGTGGTTGTTTTACTGCACGGTGTGTCAGCTGTGCATAAATGTGTGCCGCGAAGAGAATGGGGGAAAGCTGATGCCGATTCTGGCTACTAAATATGTTGTACATGTGGTCGCGCATTCTCTTGTCCGTTTTGTTGGAGCGCGGTTCTCCAGTCACCTTACTGAAAGCAAGTTAGAGAAAACGCTCTCTCCCAGTTTGCACGAGTCTTTTGTTGTGGTGTGGAGTGGCGAGGAGAGCAACAGTTCGTCCAATTAAATTGACGACAAATACAATGATGGGAAATTGACTTGGCAACTGTGCCACACATCCATGTAAATGCAGATGCCTTCTGCCAGTGATCAGAAGATTTTCATTCGTGATCATGGACATGAGAATCTTGTGCAGTGTGTTTTGAAACGCTTTCTTTCCCGGTTGGTGTGTGTTGTCTCCAGGAACATGTCACTGAACCAGATCATGAGCCTGCCCAGTGGTGTGTTCAGTAACTTGTCATCACTGATCATGCTGTAAGTCACTATGCACATACATACACACGCGCACATGCACACACACACACACGCACACGGACACACACACACACACACACACACACACACACACACACACACACACATGTGCATGAGCTCTTTGTATATCATGACAGTGGAATAATGCTATATCTTGAAGAATTAATGGTGTAACAAAAATGATATGTTCGTGTTTATAGGAAAGAAAAAGGACCAAGGAACTACAAATTACGCTATACTGTCCACTTGCACCACCAGATACTAAACAATCAGCTCATGCAATAACATTGCACGACACCGACCGACGGCGCTGATGTTCTGCAACTAACTGGCTATCAGCTCTAGCACATCTCAGATGTTCACTCCAACAGCCCTCCAACTTGGAAGGTTCTAAATTATATGATAACATGTTTCTTCCCTATAAACTTATCCTTGGCTCTCCATCCAAGTCCATATGTTTGTGTCATAGGAGAAAAATTCATCTGTTCGTATCTGTATGTGTGTTATTTGAACTCAGGGAGATGCAGCAAAACCTCCTTACAACGTTACCATCCGCAATCTTTCAAGATACCACAGCTTTACAACATCTGTAAGGCCAAGGGATGGACTTTAAGTTGTTTTAAAAGACTCAACAATGTAGAAGCTAGCTAGCCCCATCAAATTGATTGACTGTTTTTTGTACTTGGTCCGCGTCATCAATATTGTCGCTTATCTTTCGACAATTTGAACTTGGACTTTGGACAACAACGAGTGCACTTGGGGTGATAAAACTTGGTACGATGGAAGGCAAGGCATAGAATGACAACTAGCCATGAGGAATTTATTGTCCAAGGAAGGGTTCATACTTTTTTTGGTCCTCCTGTTCGCTGCTCTCCGCGCTGGTGACAAATATTTTTGCTCGGGATCAAGTCTCTCGCTTTCGCAAGCTCATCTCCCTTTCTCTCCGCTGCCTGGATATTTTCTAGAGGGAAGTCGACCATGACGGTCGGCTTCTCTATAGCACTTCGCGTGGGCAGTCGACTACTGTAAGGCTAGTATTGTTAACGAACATTTAATTCTAACGAGTTAACGAATTTCAAAGAATTGTTAACATTTGAAGTCGTTACGTGCCAAACGATATGTACATGTACAGTCATTTGCCGGTTTTGAGACAGAATTCGTTAGCATTTCACCTTGTTAACCCACACAAATTCGCAGATCGTTAACTTTAGGATGCGTTCTTAAATCCTCTCGGAAACGTTGGAGACTCTCGGAAAAGTTCGAGAGCTGTTCTTAAATCCTCTCCAAATTTCAGGAGGCTCTCCAAAGCTGTCCAAGCTCTCCAAGCTTCAGAGGTGGTTGAAACTTGGAGATTCCTGCGGTTTGGGATCAGCGCATGCGAACTACAGCTAAAAGCATGTGTTGATCATTACAATTTGTAGTGTACGCATTTCCCTTTTTTGCATACGCAAAGTCTCTACGATCAGCTGGATGTTCCGAGCGTTGAGCTGGAGGTGAGGGAACTGCGATCTCAGCTTGACGAGCGATCCCCGAGGTAAGCGATCTCGGTCAGTTTACGAAAATGGAACTGATTCCGAGTAGCCGATTATTTTCTTATGCATTGCGCTGATCTTGCCGGTACAGTGTAACAAGACGTTCTATTTTGATGCGGCATGGTATCAATCAGAACCACCCACCCGTCGCTCTTGATGTCCACTCGAAATCTAGCTAGACCTTTCAGGTACTGGTAAACTAACTAACCAAAGGTGGGGTGAAACGGGCTGCTAAGTGAGCATTGGCGACATAGAACCAAGCTGAAAGTTAAGCGACACATATTGATGACGCGGACCAAGTACTTATAATTTCAATTAAAGTTGCATCACAAACCGGCAACTGTGCCTTCTTACTTGTGTATGGCTATGCTGACGGTGTGACAGATGTGTTGCAGTAGAGCAAGTGCATGCGGCTGCCATGATAGATAATTATCGACTAGCACACACCCGGGTATCAAGCCGGGGATGTCACTTCAACTTTCTTGCCGCCGCATTGAGTCGAAAATCAAACAGTTATTTGGTCTGAAAACAAACAGTGTCGTTAATCGCGAGTTGTTGTTTTCGCCAAAGTCTTTATTCACGAGGTTGACTGACATGAACATGTATCGTTGGTAAAGGACCACTTTCATAGTTGCTATCTTCTTCCCTTTCACACTTTCATGCTTCTACTATTTTATACTACTTTCGTTTTTGGTAGGAATCAGAGAGCCAATCTCTGGCAAGAAGGCAGTACTGTCTGTGCTTTAATTAAGCGAATTGAAATAAAAGAATTCAACGACATGTACCGCATTGGCTTCTATAAAAGCCGGTTTCATTCAGAAGCCTGTTCGGAATACAAGCCTGGTTTTTCGAGATGCACCGTGACGGCACATAAGCCTGGTTTAGTGTTTACATACATATGCAGAGAAACACCTGTCTCATAATAAGAAGCCTGCAAATCCCCCCCCCCCCCCCCCCCCAAAGTCACTAAAGCCGTAGCTTTTATACACCACTGTACAACAGAGAGGTTCCAGGCTGTCCAAGAGAGTGCTCAATACCGAGAGGTAGAGCTGGTTCAAACAATAGGAGGACAGAGAAATGATGATCGCTTAGTGCGTGAAACTTGGAGTAAAAACACTTTCTCTGTCCTCCTATTGTTTGTTTTTACACCACTGTACATATATGTGCACAACTTCACATTGCATGTTGTCCAACTTGATCTTCCCTAGAACCATATCCAACAATCGACTGGCAACACTTCCGGAGAACTTGTTCACTTCACTGTCTTCTCTACATACAGTGTAAGTACTAGTACGCAGGCATGTATATCACCACCAACTAATTATATATACATACACACAAATGTATACACACACACGTGCACACACACACACACACAAACACACACACACACACACAAACACACACACACACACACTTTTGGACCATTGGAAAGCCCATCGCCGAAGGCGATGATAGCTATTAGGCGAGGCAGTAGTTCTTGTGTCGGGATAAATCATTCGGACGGCGAAAGTCGCGGCCGCAGACACAGACGAACACTCTTGGTTGGGGCTGGCTTGGTGGCTTCCGACGGCTACGCTCGCGCCAGTCCCTCCGGTCCACACACACACACACACACACACACACCACACACACATACACACCGTGCACACACATACACACCGTGCACACACACACGCGCGCGCGCGCGCACACACACACAGCGATATGAATGACAGCTGCTCGTGTTTCCAATGAAATCCAGCCTCTCAAATTCAACATCTCTGGGCTAGTGCTACCCTCACCTATCCTTGTGAGCATTGGAAAGTTCAGTGATTGTTCCTCTGCTTTGTTACTAAGCTTAGATTTCACTGGCCACCAGTGCACAAGATACAGGCTGTGGGTTGGGGGCTGGGGGCGCGTACCTGTGTGGTAAGTATTTGCATGCGGCCGTGCACTCACGCATGTGTGTGTGTGTGTGTGTGTGTGTGTGTGTGTGTGTGTGTGTGTGTGTGTGTGTGTATACAAGTATGTGTGTCTGTATGTCTGTGTTTGTGTGTGCATGTGTGTGTGTGTATGTGTATGTGTACGTATGTGAATGTATTTATGTGTGTGTATGTGTATGTGCATGTGTGTGTGTGTGTGCACGTGCACGTATCTGTGTCTATGTCTAAGTCTATGTCTGTATGTGTGGGAGAGGGTACATGTGTAAGTCCATGCGTACTCATGTGTAGTGTGCTTGGATGTACTACTGCTCTCCTTTGAATACAGTATCTGCATGTCCATGCTATGTGTTGATGTGTTGATGTGTCATGCATGCAGAGACGTCACGGAGAACACCCTGCTGCTGAACACCAAGCTGTGTGTTCTGACTGGAGTGCTGAGTCTCGCGAAAGCATCCGTCGACAGCAGTGCTGTGTCTTACATAAGACGTGGTAAGCGGCATTACTGAGGAGCCAGGCATGTAGCCCGCATGGGGCACGTGCACCCCCCCCCCCCCCCCCGTCTCTCCCATAAAAATTTCAACCTAGGTTCAGCATGCACGAAATGACAATACACACACATGCACACACAAACACAGACATACAGACACACATGCATTACTGAGGAGCCAGGCGTGTAGGCCGCATGGGCCACGAGGGGCACGTGCACCCCCCTCCCCCATAAACATTTCGACCTTGGTTCAGCATGCACAAAATGACAATGAATAGCATGCACTAGCCATCTTACACATAAGCAGCCATGCACTCCCCCCCCCCCCCCCCCCCCCCCCAAAGGGGACCAGCTATGCCCCTGTGAGGATCTGTAAACATTCTCTCAAGTGCAGAGTGCTCTTCAGGGAGTTGGCAAGGATGAAAGTAGAACAACTGCAATGCTATTAATTTTAGAAAAGGACTTCTTATGAATGATTTACACTGCATATCACTTGACAACATTCGGATATGGGAGTGAACACCGGTATGCTGTCTCGTTGACTATCTCCAAAGATGCGCCTGTCCTCCAATGCATCGTCTGTGTGTGTGTGTGTGTGTGTGTGTGTGTGTGTGTGTGTGTGTGTGTGTGTGTGTGTGCGTGCGCGCACGCATATGCATGTGCGTGTGTGCGTGCGTGTGAGTGCACGTGTGCGTGCATGTGCGTGTGTGCGTGCTCTCACACATATGCATGTACTGTGTTTGTTTGTATTTTGTGCATATGCAGAAATTCGGAACGCCACTTGCAGCCAGAGCTGCACCGTGCTGCCAGCACCTCTGCTTAACTGTGCATCGGGCAGTGGAAGCGGTCCTATCTGCTCTGGTAATGTGTATAGCGCAGGATGCAAATACGGCACCATTCCACCCACAACGCAGCCGCCCACAACGCAACCTCCCACAACGACTCCGACCACCACGCCCACTACCACACCCACTACAACGCCCACCACCACTCCGACCACGACTCCGACCACGACTCCAACAACCACTCCGACAACTACTCCCACCACAACCCCAACTACGACCCCAACCACGACCCCCACCACGACCCCAACAACAGTTCCGACAACTGCTCCAACCACGCAGCCAACTACAACACCGAACGCGCCAGGTAAGGATGTCTGCATCTTTGCTAAGGAACAAGGGTTTGTTTGCGCCTACAAAAGGCGGAGAAGTGATTGTGTCATGATGAATTAGGGAGGTTCTGCAAAACGAAAATATGCACGAAGTTTCGCGATGGGCGCGACGAACGTTTGTGCGAATTTTGCACTCACTTTGTGTTCTGCACATTTTCGCAGTTTGCACGAGTCCACGCGGTGAACCTGCTGACCCAACCCCACGAAATTCTGACGAAAGTTCGTTTCGCGTTTCCTGCAAGTGTCACGTCCAAAGTCGCGAAAGTTCGTGCAACGCTTCTCACTTCATGGCGTAGAGCGAAAGTTTGTACACATTCTCGTTTTGCAGCACCTCTCTAATATGAGCTGTCCATAATGAACATTGGGCGTTGAATTATGAGTTGTGCATGGACATGAAGTGATGAATTATCGGTTGCCACAGACATTGCACTACCCTGGTACGGTGAGGATCCACAGAACACAGGACTATCCTAGCAACTTACTGTGAGGATCCACACAACACTGCAGCATCCCACACAACACCGCAGAGACCGAACCTTGGCAGCAAATATACCCTGTGGCTCACCTATGTGCTAATCTAGCCACAGAGATGTGTACAAATTGAGAACATTTTCTCTCCGATGGTTACTAATACTACGCACTGGTTGTGTCGCCGTTCTTATCAAAACCACTTTCCATCCATTTCATTTCATTATTTACTTGCCGGCGATACTGACTTACTGAGTACTAGTACCAACCACGTACTGACGTGTCTAGGGTCTGTTGTGGACGCAGAAGTGGAGCTATTGGCAAGGGAAAACAGTAGGCCTTGAAAACAAACATGTGAGTGAATATTCGTGTGTGTGTCCGTGCATGTGTGTGTGTGTGTGTGTGTGTGTGTGTGTGTGTGTGTGTGCGCGTGTGTGTGTGCGCGTGTGTGTGTGTGTACGTGCATGTGTGTGTGTGTGGTTGTGTGTGTGTGGTTGTGTGTGTGTGGTTGTGTGTGTGTGTGTGTGTGTGTGTGTGTGTGTGTGTGTGTGCATGCATGTGTGTGTGTGTGCATGCATGTGTGTGCATGTGTGTGTGTGTGTGTGTGTGTGTGTGTGTGTGTGTGCGTGCGTGTGTGTGTGTGCGCGCGCGTGCACGCATGCACAATAATTTCTGTTTCTAAATGTGCAGCAGCTGAATCTAACTCCGGCCCGATAGTGATTGGAGCTGTAGCTGGTGGAGTTGTCATTCTGGTGGTTGTCCTCGCTGTCGTGCTCTACGTCAGGAGAAACAGCCAAGGTAGCAACGTCAGTGGTAAAGGTCAGTTTAATGTAGTGGTGTGCACGGGTAGTCGGGTACCCGTGCTACTCATGAGGACCTCGGGTAAACGGGTACCGAATCGTACCCGAAAACCCGAAGTCGCAGATGACATGTAGAAAGAGTAGAGAGAGAGAGAGAGGTCTACCATGGTCTGCAGTGCACGTGTACAAATAACTCACGCATGTCTACCCAGTGTGTAAGGGAAGGGGCCGGTGTGCATTGTGGTTTTACCATGGGAACATTACCCGATCGGGTACCCGTGCTACCCGTGGAAAACTACCCGGACCCGATACCCGAAGAAAATGCTACCCGACTCAGCCCTAGTTTAATGTATTGTTGAATGTTGACCACCAGTAGTATTTCTAAGGAGGTGTGTTTGTATAGGGAGTGGGTGTGTTTGTATTGGGAGTGTGTGTGGCTGTTCCGAGCGCTGCTGCTCTTGTTATTCTTCTTCTTCAGAAATTCTCCACACCTTGTCGGCCAAAGTACGCGCGCGCGTGCACGGAAAATAGATGCGCTGAGCCGTTTCTTGTTCGATTTTGACAAATAATGGCTTGTTGTTTTGTTCTCGACCTTGGCTATCCTTCTAACGTTCAATATTTTACGGAAACGCAACGGCTCCCCCTGTTTTTTTAGCCGAACTTTGGCCAAAGTTACTGGAAAACCCGGAACTCTTTTGAAAAAAAATACGAACGGTGGAAGTCTTGGAACGTCTTTCGTGCGTGTGGATTCAAAAATTCAGGCAGTTTGAGCCAACCGTAATGAATCCCGTAGAGTTGAAAGTGAGTGATATTGATGGGAAAATGCGATTTGAGCACTGACCGATTGTGTGGTGCAGTATATGCACGCGCCTGTCACGTGCATGATGTAGCTGGCGACGCTAGCATGCCAATCCGTGAACCTGCAAGTTCAGGGCACCAAATGCACTACTTTCTGTCGGATTTCACCGAGCGCAACTAGTTCATGTCACTAACACACTGTGTTCGTGTTTCCTTTGCAGGAATGTTCAAACGGGGCAATGGCAAACGTGAGAGCCAGGTTCACCTGACAGGCCTGCCCACCCACAGCTCAATTTCATCAAGCGTCGACGAATACTCGATCACGGCCGACTCTGCTTCAGGGATCGGCTCTGACGATGTCTCCCAAGTCAAGCTGCACCAACCTCCTGGCTTGTTGAGCAGCTCCCTGTATGACGTGGTTGAAGCGGATTCATCCTGCCGCAACCAGACCGGGGCAGTGCAGGCTGCCAGCCAACCCGAAGTGCCAGCAGCCCAGCAGCAGCAAGAAGACGACCCCAGTCTGTACATGTGCATTGACAACAGGTCAATGGGTCGTGTTAATAGCGTGCAATCAAAGCGGATGCCTCCATCCGTGGCCCCGCGCCCGCGTGGCTCTTCGGCCGCGTCGGCCGCAGAGGCGGGCGTCACGAATGACGTCATCATCAACAGCAGCGCCTTGGACGCCATGGCAACGTACGACACTGCCGAAGTGGAGTACGCGGCACCGCCTGTTGACGACTCGCATTACAAGACTGTGTCGCTGTCCGGTGTCAGCAGCCCTGCAGAGGACTCCAATAGGGCAGCAGCAGCAGCAGGACCTGCTCAGTACTCGAACCCATCTCGCCCCGGATCCAACCTGGACGATGCACCCAGCGGCAGTGCAGGTGCCGACTCTGAGTTCCTGGGACACTATGCCAAGCCACCAGCCGCCAAGCACTACCGTCCGGCTAGCGCGTCACCAAGAACTGACGATGCTAACAGCCTTGGGACGGCTGATAACCTCGCCGAGGCAATGGCCGACTTCCTCTAGCTTCTCCCTACCACACTGGCGTGTGCTGTAGGTAGAAGATGCCGGGGAGATGCAGTAGTAGTATGAGCTAGGGAGTAGGGGCCGCCGCTGTTGCAGTGATTTCACTCATGGCATGTTGTAAGTCTGTTTTTGTGTGTGTGTAGTCTCTTTATGATGTGGACCATGAAACGGTGTAAGAGGTCGGTAGATTATGTCATAATGTGAGTCATGGGTTTGTAGATGATGTCATAATGTGAGTCATGGGTTTGTAGATGATGTGAGTAGTGAAATGTAAAATGATGTCGGTGTACGAGGTCAGTATATGATGCGAGTCGTGAAAATGGTACATTGTATGTGATGTCATACTAGTAGGCAGCAAGCTTCTCTCCTTTCTTCTTCTTCTGCCACTCTCCTCTTTCTCTTCTGTTAGCAGAACAGATTATGTATAGTTTCTCTGCATGTATTATTTATTGGAGCTCAGCTGTCCTCGATAACTGACCCTTTTATTTTTAGTGCATTCTATGGCCTGCCACCATGCACCTGGCATGGGTTTTCCCTGAATTTTCCTCTCTTCTGTATTTTCGACGTGAACCCAGTGCCTCCCCAGTTGTCCACCTGGACATCATCTGGTGGATTCATCCCTTTTTGTTTCACCATCCCGGGCAGATTTCCTTCACTAATACGCACTTGCCTACAGTTATCAGACTGTACTTCTAGGTGCATGTATATGCCAGCTGCGTTCTCTAAATTGTACTTCAAGTAGCCGCAGTAACGGCAAGTACATTTATTTAGGCTGCCTTAGACAGATTTCTATATATGGCTTAGTTAGTGCCTCAGACAGATTTCTTTATATGGCTCAGTGCCTTGGACAGATTTCTTTATATGGTTTAGCTCGTTTAGACCGTCTAGTGCCAAGCTGGGGAAGTTCTAGGAGCATCTAGTTGATGATCACACATCATGTGCATAAGCAAGAAGTAATAGGTGGCAGACTAAGACTACTGGTTCTAAACTACGGTAGCAGCAAGCATTGTAAACGCGTGTAATAAAGCAGTTCTAATTCTGTGATAACTGTGACCGCCGGTGTGCTGTTGGGTGCTGCTGCTGCTGGTGCTAGTGGTGGTACTGCTGGTGCTGCTGCTGTTGGTGGTGGTGGTGGTACTGCTGGTGGTGCTGCTGTTGGTGGTGGTGGTGGCACTGCTGGTGGTGCTGCTGCTGGTGCTAGTGGTGGTACTGCTGGTGGTGCTGCTGTTGGTGGTGGTGGTGGTACTGCTGCTGGTGCTGCTGTTGGTGGTGGTGGTGGCACTGCTGGTGGTGCTGCTGCTGGTGCTAGTGGTGGTACTGCTGGTGGTGCTGCTGTTGGTGGTGGTGGTGGTGCTGCTGCTGCTGCTGCTGGTGCTGGTGGTGGTGCTGCTGGTGGTGCTGCTGCTGGTGGTGGTGCTGGTGGTGCTGCTGCTGCTGCTGGTGCTGCTGCTGCTGCTGCTGGTGGTGGTGGTGGTGGTGCTGCTGCTGCTGCTGCTGCTGGTGGTGGTGGTGGTGCTGCTGGTGGTGGTGGTGGTGCTGCTGCTGGTGGTGCTGCTGCTGCTGCTGGTGGTACTGCTGCTGGTGGTGGTGGTGGTGGTGCTGCTGCTGGTGCTGCTGCTGGTGTTGGTGGAGGTGCTGGTGTTGGTGGTACTGTTGCTGTTGGCGGTGCTGCTGCTGCTGGTACTGGTGGTGCTGCTGCTGCTGGTGGCGGTGGTGCTGGTGGTACTGCTGCTGGTGCTACTGCTGGTGGTGGTGGTGCTGCTGCTGGTGGTACTGCTGCTGCTGCTGGTGGTACTGCTGCTGCTGGTGGTGGTACTGCTGCTGCTGGTGGTGGTGGTGCTGCTGCTGGTGGTGGTGGTGCTGTTGCTGCTGCTGCTGGTGGTGCTGTTGCTGCTGGTGGTGCTGTTGGTGGTGCTGTTGCTGCTGGTGGTGGTGCTGTTGCTGCTGGTGGTGGTGGTGGTGGTGGTGGTGGCCTGTGCCCCGACTGTGGTGTGACTGATGCTGTGGTTTGTGGTGTAAAACTGTGAATAGTGCTGTGTAACGTACAGGGCAGCTCATAATTATAATTATAAAATAATAAAACTCGGATGTTGAGCCAATAATAAATGTAGAAAGGAAAAGGACATATGGATACAAATTAGAGTAACTCTCCATCACTGTAACCAGATACTATATACAGTCAGAAAGTGCAAAGACTCGGCACAAAACTGACAGAGTACTGAGACATTCATACTGAGACATTCGTCCAGTAACAGTCGGCATTCTTTGTTCCGTTGGCACTGAAGCTTGTGCTCGTTTTCGTTGCGCTTGCCTTCCCCCTCTTTGGTCTTTCCATAACCTTGAACCTTCCAAGTTGGAAGGCTGTCGGTTTGCGCTACAGAGACGTGTTGAAGCTAGGTGTCAGGTCGTCGAATGTCTCAGTACTCTGTCAGTTGTGTGCCTAGTCTTTGCACTTTCTGACTGTATAATAGTATCTGGTTACAGTGATGGAGAGTTTCTCTTAACTCATATCCATAATTATGTCCTTTTCCTTTCTACATACAGGTCGTCCCCCGTTAATACGAGTCCGGTTAGTACATAAACCCTGTTAGTACATAAGAAATATCAAGTCCCGGACGAAACGTGGTCACTTCCATACAAATTTTGTCGGTTAGTATATAATTCGTTAGTACATAAACCCCGTTAGTACATAACATTTTTCCGTACCCGGATGCCACCTACCTCAATAGTACCTAATTTGTTGGTCTTTTGGCCTACTTATGAACGCAATTAGCTCAGAAATCAGAGCGCACATCACAAACCGACAAAGCTCTGTTTTTTTTCGAGTGACTGTACAGGCGCGGCTGGACATGTATCATGTAAACTGTAGAATCTTTGCTGACTGTGACCGTTATAAAATTTTTTTTATGTTATACCGAGGGAATCAAGAATATCTCGCTCCCTAGCCATGGTAGCCAGAAACGCTCAGAAAAGTTGAAAAAAGTGAAGAATTCTGGTACACAAGCAAGTTATGTACACTTTCGTTTAGTACATAACCCCGTTAATACATAAGATTTCTCAATTCCCAGAGATTATGTATTAACGAGGGACGACCTGTAATAATAAAAAGCAAGATATTGGCAATCATGCATTTTGCTTGTTTTGAAGGGGATCTAGATCCGCAAGTGCTAATTTGGAGTGCTGGCCTGGACAAAACAAATCATCCGAACATGACTCGTGTATATTTCAGAATTGACCACTTTTGCAAGCCAACAACAACTCCGCTTTGTACTTTGAAAACGCATAATACATAATCTAAATTAAAAGTTTGAAATACACTCTTATCCCTCTTGTCTGGACTTGGAAGTTACCATGGTTACGGGCACCTCGGCCCCAAGGCACCCTCGGGCACCTCGTCCCCAAGGCACCCTCTGTGCGTGTGGGAGGGAGGGGGGGGAGGTAGTGGAAATGTTACTACTCTTTCGCCAGTTTCTGTGGAAATCATGAGTGACATAACGGACATGTGCGTATATATGGCTTTGACCTGGCCTGTGTGTTTGTACAATCAGACCTCACTTATCCGGACCTCTCTCATCAGGTCCTCTCTTATCCTGTCCTCTTTCATCCGGTCCTTTCTTATCCAGTCCTCTTTTATCCGGATCCCACACCATCCGGAAGAACATAGCTGGTTACAGATTTACAGCATACGCGATGCATCCAACATAACTGGTGTTCAATTATCCGGTTCCCTCGCCCATCCGGATATTTTTGTGGAAAACGGATGTGTGCGGTTAAAAGCGAAGTCTGGCTGTACTAGCAACGTCGTGATACTGAAGAACAAGACAAAACCAGGCTACATATACTACGAGTAGTCTTTATGTGCAGGGCCTAGGGTAGGGACGGCATGCTTGTCCTGTAAAATTATTTAATGGTGGTGTACACGAAGCATGCACATGATGAGGAGCTCATAACGCATCCCATATACTGGCAAAAAGTGTGCAACTCCCGCATGCGCATGCAATGCTGTCCGGTTACGATGGGTGCATGTCCGGACAGCCGGCAACAGAACTGTTCAAGTTGATGTCATTCATGATGCAATGCTCCTTGCAGGAGTGACTTACGACGTTTGAAACCTTGTATACTAGAAGTCATCAGGGGCGTCGGACGGTCTGATGTGGGATATAAAAAAAATTCGGCTCAGCCACCACTCCCCCATGAGTAAATTGTACTTCAGATGGTTGACCGTGCCACGCTAAAATACCTTCTGACACCCCTGGTCATGTAGAGTGGTCTCACATCTTTGTCATGCACGTCATGTGGCTAATTGTATAGGAAAGGAAGAGGACCAAGGAACTGCAAATTACACCGTGGCTATACTCTCCACTAACACCACCAGTGATGTGACAATCAGCTCATGCCATGATAACATTGCACCACACTGACCCGCAACAGTACTGACATTCTACACCTAACTGGCAATCAGATCTAGCACGCCTTGGATGCGCACTCCAACAGCCTTGCAGTAACTTGTAGTTCCTTGGTCCTTTTTCTTTCCTGTAAAGTCATCATTGGCTCTCCATCCGAGACATGTGGCTAAATGTGTGTATGCTGGACTTGAAGTGATGATGTCCTGTGGACAGTGGAACCAGCATGGTTGCATAGATTCAGGGATTGGGTGGAGTTGGAACCAATATGGCCACACCCATGGTTATGACTTATGTGAATGAGGTGCAACACCTCTATAGGACTATACTCTAAGACATGCCGTTATACTGTATAAGTACTAATTTTCGTTCGGAATTCAGTGTCTGCTCCAGCGCCGGGTGAGCCGGGTAATCCACCCGGTTGGGCGGCGCTTGGACCCGGTTGAAAATATAGTACCGGGTCACCTGTGACCCGGCTGGTACTTTACACTTTCGAACTTTGAAAGGACTGACTACATGGCTTGTATGTGTCAGATACTTCTTCTTCTTTCGTAATTTTCTAATTTCTGTCCTCTCTTTTCTAAATGCGGCTTATCCATTCGCCTTTATATCATTGGGCCTAGTTCCCGTTTATTGTCCGAATTAAAATAAACTAACCAACCAGTTAAAGCATGTGTTTCGGCTGGTAAGACAGCGCCAGGTGTACCCGGCTCCAACCCGGTTGAAACGGTTGCGCCAGGTACACGTGCACCTGGCTGTCCTACAATCCTAGAGCAGACACTGGAATTAACTTTCGCTATAAGTATATTGGCAAGTCCGATGTGGAGATAAGAAGGCGCTTAGCACTAGGGAAGCAAAAGATCATTGAACTTCAATTCATTTGGAAATCGCCATCACTTTCTTTGCCTACTAAATTTCGTTTTGTTAGGTCTATTGTGCTAGCGACTGTTTTATACGGATGCCAATCTTGGACATTATCTGCCCCATCAATGAGAAGAATTTCATCCTTCGAGATGAAATGCTTCCGCCGACTCTTAGGAGTAACATACCACGACCGGCGTACCAACCAATCTATCCTGGAAGAAATCAATGACATCATCGGAGCAAGGATGCGGCTAGCGAACGAAGTCAAGAAATTTAAGTTGATGTGGTTTGGCCATGTTACGAGACATGACGTTTTCTCCAAGCCCTTCCTGCAAGGATCAACTCCTGGATCTCGACCGAGAGGAAGGCCCGCGACATCATGGATTTCTAACATTAAAAGTTGGACGGGTCTTCCCTTGTATGCTCTCTCTCATGCAGCACACGATAGAGTTGGATTCAGAGACATCATTCACAATTCTCTCGCTGATTAATGCCTCTACGATCACCTTGTGAGTATGAGTTATACATACATACATACATAAGTATATTCGTTAGGGGGCACCGTCGCGAAATAATGGAAGTTTCCGGAGGAGGAAGGAGGAAACTGTAGTTATCACCAACCCTCACCGCGCCCAGCTCACGCCGCTACGGCGTGCGACCTGAGCTGGGCGCCCTGCCGTGCAGTGTGGAACTGTCCTCAAGCCAGTCACGTATTTGGCAGCCCAGTGAGCTGTCTACCGGATCGCAGCATTTAGAAGCGCCAAATGCGGCAGG